AACAGCAGAAACTAGAGACAATCACTTTTGTCAACTATGAGAAAGGTAGAAAAAGAAAAAAAAACACGACATTAATGTTGTCAATGATTCTTCATCCACGACATGAGATGAACATAAAGATGAAAACGAAGGAGCCTAGCCAGGTTGCAGATGCAAGTGTCAATCAAGTTTGCTCCCCGTGCAGTTTCATCAGCAGCACAGCGCGGATTTGTGATAATCCTCCTTTAATGAGAGTAAGATGGCAGCCATCTGTTTTTTTTTTCATCCGGACTCAACACAAAAACACGCAATGATTGCAACGTTCACGCGGCGAGACGACATAGTAAAAAAGGTTTTTGTTGTTGCTAACTGTGCCGTGACAGCTTTGAAATACCAGTTTTAATTTAAACATATACAAAGGTATAATTACATTTGCATATTGTAAACATAAGCGTTTGATTGTGACAATATTTTTACTGTAAAATCACATTAGCTTGCATTTTCTTTTTTAACAATTTTAAATGACACTCCGCATTAAAAACTTGGAACCAAATTAAGACTCAGTCTTTGTTTTTCATATTGATGCACTGATGTGTATCAAAGATAATGTACAAAAGATAATTTATAGACCGAAAATAATTGGCTAAACAATTTGAAAAATAATTTAGTACCAATTTTTATGATTTGTAATTTTCGACGGAAGCATAAAAGTGGCTTGTTTATAGAAAGGTGGCTGCACAATAAGCAGATGCTACACTTAGCAAAACATATGACATTATGTAGGCAAGGACAAAATGATAATTTAGAATGTAATCAGCTATTTTTGCGTTTATTATGTCGTAAATTTTTTAATTTTTCAACCACAATTTTAATTTTTTAATTCAATTATTGATTTCTCTTAATTTAATGTTGAAATTATTTTATAAGTTTTTGAACTGTTATATACAAATTTCATTATAAAAAGCTGTCCGTGAAGGATGTCACACCTTAAGTGGGGTTAAGAAGGGGGTGAACAAATTGGTGACACTTCATGACAAGGAGGGCAGGAGAAAAAATTTATTTAACGTCCCGTTTCATATTTTTTCAATTTCGATCATAAATTCATGAAAAATTTGTTGGGAATATTTTGTCATAAAAAGTGTATGAAATGTTTGATGTGTTCAGAACACCTGAAAATAAATTTGCTGTTTTGACGGTTTATTTTTGTTTTTCTTTTTTATTTCATTCATGAAGTTATGTTCGTGTTTGTTTGTATTCAACGCTATTTGAGGCAGTTGATTTTCAATTGTAAATTATTGTTTGTGGTGTTGATAATTTGCATAAAACATTTTGAAATGTTGGGAACTGAGTGGCCTCTACTTTCATAAAGAAAGACGGTCCAAAAAATGTGACGTGCTGTATATTAGAGGGCTTGAAAGTTTGTGTGACAGTTGGTGACAGGGGAGGGGAGAAGTAAAAAAAAAAATGTAAAAAATGCGTGACATCCTTCATGGACAGCCCTAATGAGAATGATGGTGGTGACGAGATGTGTGTGTGTAACTTTATGACGTTGTTTATTATCATAATGATGCTATGGCGATTGATGACAGACTTACAAAATGCAGTTTAATCGTTTTAAAAAGTTTTGCGAAAAATGAATGAAAAAAAAAGTATTTGACGAACAAGAAAAAGGAAATGTATGTCCTGAATAAAATAACTTCCAACAAAATATGCGTGATGGCGATGTTTACGATGATGTTGAATGTTTTGATATGATGCTATAGTATATAGTACTGATGATGACGACGACAAAGATGATGATTACAATGATGACACTGATGACGATGGTAACAAACGCAATAAAAATGGCGATTATTAATAAACGAAGATAACGAGAACGAAAGATTTAAAAATACTGGATCTAAAAATGAATTTAGATTATCGTAAATCTGTAAGCTTTTTGTAGCACTGTAAAGTTTGTAATGCAACCTGTAAAAGAGGGAACGATTCATAATTTAGAATCTGAGTATCGACAGTTTATCGATTGAAATGACGTTTTGTCGCGTTCTCTTTCTCCATTCTGTCACATCATGTCACAACCTCCATTGATGAAGACCGCCACTGAAGCACTGAAGCTCGCTTGCAATCCTCACGGCAAAATCTCTCTTATACAAGTTTTTAACGATCCTTTCTTGTCAGCTTTTATACTAGCGCTTCGTTTGATTAATTTATTGTTACCTCCACTTTTAAAATGTTCAAATACATAAATAGATATTGCGGGACGTGATGGCGAAAAAAATTCAGTCCAATTCATTTTGATCAACTGGCAAATATAAAAAAAATTAATAGATTACAAAAAGCCATTACCTTAAAAAAGAACAAATCGTTAATTCCTTTAAAAAAAAAACCCAAATTTTTTTTACCGTTTCTCTGCAAATGTTCAAAATCAATTCCTTCAGATGAGCAAACATTTTTTGTGTATTTAAAGATAGCCAATACATTGGAACACGTGTACAACAAATCATCATCATTTTTACATGTTTTATTTTTACAATGTCCTGTCACGTAAATATAGATAAATGATAGAATTGTGTGAATAATGTATACTCATAGGCAGGCGTGTATTAAATATTCCGTGCACATGAGTCTGCATACACGAAATATGGTATCGTTTAATCCAGCTTCCAGCACAAATGATACACATCATGGTATTTAATGGAGGCAGTACTTCAGACAGGACTGATGGATGGATGGCAGGCAGCGGGTGTGAAGTAGCATGGAGTGTTTTGTTTACAGCTTGCTCGATGTTACGATGCTATTAAATTATCCTCGGTCGTTCTGTTGTTGACGCATCAATATAACTTGTCGAAAAAAAGTGGTCATTTGGGATTTTGAATGAATTTAATCCTTTTTTTATTTACTGTGTTGAGTTTCAGTTTCATATAACAATTTATTTGACTGTTTTAAAATTGGAACTATATAATGGGGAGTGATCCAAAAGAGTATGCAGGCTACAACAAAATAAAGACAACGCAGACACTCAGCTTATGAAAACATGCATGAAAATTTGACTTTGGCCGCATATCTCTTGGAATAATGTGATTGATCGATTGATTTGATTTGTATTGAGCTTTATTTAATACAAGTTCATATGATTTATCATTATGCCACACACGCACAAAATACACACTTATAAAATCTACACACGCACTCGCACACAACGCACACACATACCAACAAACACATAACAAACAAAAACACAACAGGCACAATAAGACGTGTACTTTGTACGGCCTTCAACTCGTCCGTCATGTTGTTTACATGCTGCTGATGTTGCCGAAGATTATAGATGGGTAATATGTTTCGGCATCAATCAAACCAGATTGTAACAACATCAGCACTCCCCGACGTTATTCACGCAGTGGAAAATTTTCCGTTGAAATTTCAATGAAGAAGAATGAGCGATCAGTGCGTTGCTGTCCTTGTTGAGGCACTCTCAACTGCTCGTTTCAGTTACAAAGCATAACGACCAATTTGACAACTTGGTTGTGAGATAAGCATGTTTAATGTTTACTAACATGTTTAACTGATACGTATGTATACAACTGATACAATGATTTATTACTGTACAATCTATGATATGAACAGTTTTTAGATTATTTTCCAACCTGTCGATTTTGCTGAATATTCAAGCTTGTTCACCTAAAAATACAGTGAGAATTGCGAAGGATTGTGTAAAAAAATTTTTGAATATTTGAGAGTCGCGATCAATTGCCATGTTTGTACTGTTATTTGCTCTTTCTCTACAGACACCTTCTAAATTATGTAAACTTGTTGATGAAAAATAGAAAAAAGAAGGAAAAAATATTTCAAATGTTTTTTCATTTAAAAATTTATCATTTGTATGAAGTAAATGAAAAACACGAGCAAAATATGAAAATCGTAAATTGCGATCAGCATTTCTTTTTCCTCACCGATCCATTCACCACGTGTGTGTCGTAAGGTTCGCGGACAACATTGAAATTTAAGTATTCGCGATAAGACATATTAGGTTCATACAACGTTAACGTGGCTCATGTATTGTAAGGTAACATTGCCAGGCTTAAGAGGACAGCATTTATTATCCTATGCTTCATAATTTACATTGATTGCTTACTTTCAATTCATTTGAACGCATTTTATTTTGTGATTTAAAACAGTTTTTGTGGTCATTTTAGAATTTTATTTCCATGATTAAATTTTCAAAAACAAAAATTGTTGGACAAATAATTTTGTAAAATTTGCATTTTTTTGTGAAAGAAACTATGCAAATGAATATTAATTCTTAAAAAAATCTTAAATGAAAAAGCAGGCTGTGTGGATTCATGAAGACAGGCAAGTGCCTCTCTGGATGGCAGGCAGGCAGATGGATGCCTAAAAAGAAGATTTCTCGTTTGGCTAATTAACAAAGTGTCAAGCAAAACTTAGAAAACAGGTTGAAGAAAATAGAACGAAACGAATTATTATTATAATATTATTGATAACAAATGACAACATGTCCGTATGTAATTCAACTGAAGCACAATTAGCGCTAGATAAATAAACATAAGTTCAATTTTTTAAAACTTGAATACATTAAGTTTCATGTTTTGTGACGTGGGAGCCGAAATAGAAAAATTGTCAAAGTTTTTGAACATTTTTTTACTTTTCTAAATAATTCAAAATGAAAACCGGTGAAATCGTTTTGTTCTTGTTGCAAATATTTTTTTAGTTTTATATGCGCTACAGTTTTTTATTTGTGTTTCAATCAAAATAATTTTTTCTTTGTATGAAGCTCCGACGAAAGAAAGTGGATTAACTTGCAAATCGTTCCTTACTTACCTAGTTGCAAATTATTTTTTGTGCCCTAAAGCACACATGCAGACAAACAGACACACGTACATACGCACGCACGCAAGCGTACGCGCGCGCGCACACATGATTATTAGCTGAACTGAAAAGTAAGCTTTAAGCCATAAAATTTTAAACTTTGGGCTTGTTTGAGCCGTTACTTTCTAACAAGCATGGATGCGATCATGCAAGTTAGTTATAAACACAAGCATTATTTGAACATTTTTATTGTTGTTGCTGTCCAATCGATCTGCCTGCAATTCTTTAGCTAGATGATGTAAAAACATTGAAGATGATGTACACCTTTCATGAAGCAGTTGATGAAGCCATCTTTCCATTTCAAATAAAATTAGCTGCCGGATTGGCGTGCAAGTCACTTGAAATTATCGAATGTTATGAGCTGTTACCCAACGCTGTTCTTGCTACACGATTGCAGATGATTAAAACCAACTTTATTTTAATTTTCAACTGTGAAGCTTTTGAAGTAGAAAAAGTTTTTGAAGGGGAAAACGGAGAGAACTCGTCAAAACAATCTAAATACTATTCCATCATTTTCAGTAACGTTTCGCCGCAAGGATGTTGCATTCATTTCCTGGTTTATGAAACATTTGTATGGAAAGGAACAACCTAGAAGTATCACAAAAAAGATTTTTAAAGCATCAAATAAAATACACAATTTTTAAAACTTTTCAAATGAAATGTTTTAAAACGTCTTGAAATCATTCGAAACGACTTTAAAACACTTTTTCAAAGTTTTTGTGAATTTATTTTAAATTTTCAATCATAATAGTAACGAAAAGAAGTTATTGAAAGAATAATTTATTATAATAGGTTTATCTCAATTCAAATGAACAAATCAACTTTCAAATTAAAAAATAATTTTATAGTGCTACAGTAGCAACGGACATGTTGTCAACAAGTTGCTAATTGCTCGTGGGGACGTCTGTCAGTTTATTGGGACTGGAAATCATTGATAAACTTTTAACTATTGGTGAACACACTTCAACGACAACTTGTTAATCTAAAATGAAATTGTATAAAAATTTACATATTTACAAATAAAACATAAAATAAATAAATTTTTTTTATGCTGAAACTCGTTTCAAAAAAAAATTTCAAGTAGGTCTGAAAAGCTTTTTTAAACAATGTTTTTAAGACAACTTTATTTTTATGAAAAATATCTGTAGTACAGAAAAAACGTCAAACAAAATTTTTAATGATTTCCAGTTCAAAAAATCTGACACGGGTTTTCTATTACAGAATAAGTAATTATATTGCTATTCAGGCTTGTATTGCATTGTAACGTTTGCGTGATCACTGAAAAAAAAGACACCTTAAAATAATTTTTGTTAAGCCTTTTTAAATCTAGTAGTTTTGTTTTTTTTTACAATTATTTTAAATTTTCAATTATAACTTGAATATGACCAAAATCAACATTCTTGAAATTACAACCAGTTAATTAAGAGGTTAGCAGAGAATCTAAGCAATTAATTCACGTTCGATGTTTTGATGTTCCATCTTTTATGTCACTAGTTGAACCTGGTAAATATTTTTCAACATTTTTACTTTTCACAAATGAGAATTTAATAATCACATTGCCAAATTTTAAATTAACTTGTTGCCGTCAAATAAATTTTTATTTGTTTTGAAGTATAGTCTACTGTTTCAATGCTATTTTTGAAAGATATATTAAATTTACCTTCAGAAAACAAATTTGTTTTGAACTTTTTGTGTTCCACGGAGTTCTTCCAAGAAATTTTTGCATCGTACGAAAATTCTTTGAAGTTTGCTGATTTCAAAAATACAGTCTTATACACACACGCAATACTTCCTGCTGTTTTATTGACATTGTGTCAATTATATTTTAAAAAATTGCTGCTGAAATTTCTCCGCAGTTCGTTCAGTCAACCGTTAGAAATGCGTTTCTTTGAAGGCAAATGAGCACAAGCTGCATATTTATCTTCTCGGGTAGTCGATGCTGTGATGGATTCAGAAAACGTCAATTCACGGACATTCCGTGCTGCCAAATGTAGTCCAAATTCGCATGCGTACTTACATTTTGTTGTGGAGGTTTATTTCTAATTTGCCTCATTTTTCGTGACAAAAAAAAACCTTTCTAAGAAACGTGCAGTGATTTTCATTATCGAGTAATTGAAAATTTCGGTTATTATTCGGAAATGAGTTCCTAATGGCTATCAGCGTTTGTTCAAAGCTTTTTCTTATCAAGACACGTTGAGTATTCAAATAAGCTCCTAAGTTTCAATTTAATGCAAGTTTTATTTCAAATACAACAAAATTAATTTTTAATTTTTAAGTAGTTGTGATGATTTCAAGTTGTTACACTCAAAGAAAAAAAAAGACAAAATGTATTTATAATTACAATTTATCAACCAGCAATGATAGATATAAAAAATTTGATACAAATTAAGTTTGTAGTTGAAAAAAGTTCAGAGTGTATAAACGGAGATGGCCATTAAAAAGATTACTAACATTTTAAAATTTGATCCAAATTTCAGTTAGAATGTGTTTGTTCATTTGATAAGTTTTCAAAAATGATTAAATCAAAGTAACTCTGAAAAGGAAGAAAATTAGTTATTTTGACTCAGAGGTATTTTTAGTAGTTTTGAGCTTACGAACGTCTAGACAGATTCAAGTAGTATAGTGTGAAAAGTTTGAATTTATTCTTAAATGGAAACTTCGTAAAAAAAATTTTGTAACCAGTTTTGACTCTGCTGGAGCCATATATAATTTTAAAATATCATGAATGACATGCAAAATTTAAGATTGTTGGAGGTTTACTACTAAGGTTCATAGTTCATGGTCGTGAAAAAGGAAATTTAATATTGCAGGACCTTCAATCACCTCTTTGGTGCAGCAGCGAAAAAATTTGTGATTGAATAAAATGCGAATCAAAAATTTTTTCCCGTTCTCAACAGTTCATTTGAATTTAAATGTTTGGTTGTAATAATAGGACCAATTTATGTCTGATTGTAATTTTAAAATCAACAATATTTTTTGCAATTTGAAAATTTTTTAAGTTATTTTGAATATATTTTGATGAGGTTTACATGAAACGCACAAATTTGTTAAACTAAATTTACATAAAAATAATTCATGTTCGAGAAACCCTTAGCAACTCGTTTAAATTAAATAAAAAACATAAAAAAGCTAATGCATATATTTTAAAAATCCATCTGAAAACTCGTCCGTGAAAAAAACTTTAAAAAGACTTTTTTAATTTTCCCCCAAAACTTTCAGTCTTTATATTCGTAGAGTCATGGCTGGTGATTAACGTCATTAATTTTTTTAAACCATAGTATTGAAGAATTTAAAAATGTTTGCTCATCTGATTTATTAGATGGTGAAGAAATTCGTGTAAGTTTGAAAAAATTTGGATTCACAAAACTTTTATCAATATCAATTAACTATGGTTTGAAAATGTGAAAATTATTATTATCAATAGTTATTCCTATTTTAAGACCGTGATATGTTTGGAAGAATAAAAAGGAAGATGTGTGTGTGTGCAGACACTGGGTGAGATGATGCTGATGAAACATGCCAGAATGTTGTCATTCATGTGATGGAGACCTCCTTCTCTTGGCCGGCTGTCAATTTTATTTTGCAGGATTTCAACATTTGTGCAATCGTTCCAGCTTATATTTTCAATAAATTTCGTGCTAATAATTACATTGTTATCAGCGTTTCAAATTATATAAATTGATCTTTTTTGTTAGATCATAAAACATGGCAAACAGCGTGAAGCTAACAATAATGCAATTTCATATTTTTTCCTTTTTGGCTTTCAATTAATTCAAGCATTAAAAATTGAAATTTAAACAAGGTGAGCAAACTTTTAAATTTACACTCAAATCATGTAGTTTTTTTCAACTGAACAACCAAACCAATTTTTGTATTGTTTCCTCCAACCTACTTCACTCCTTAAATATATTTTAATATATTTTCTTGTAAATAAAACTGTTATACGTGTTATGTACGTTTTACTTTTGTCAAATAAAAATGTTGAAAATAATTTGTTATCAAGGGTAAAACACCTCCAGATAAGTTTTATATACTACAGTATTTCTCAGTATTGCTTCAGTAAGTAGCAGTTTTAAATGGAAAGTCCTATTGATCTTATGGGTCGAAGTACTTCCGTAACAAACAAACAAACAAAAAAACAAAAAAACAAACAAACACAAACAAACAACATTTACCAGTTTGTTCCAACATGAGGAGCAGAGAACCGTTCTAAATGTCGGTTAATTAATATCTATCTCGTCATTAGTCAGCTTGGTGTGTGTAGAGGAGCACCTATGTCGTGTGGTGGCTTATATTTCCATTTTTATTTTCAGTAATCCAAATTATTGCTCGTTTTTTGTTACAGTTTAGTAGTAATAAAAATAATAATAATAGCAATAATATTGAAACTTCATTTATGTAGAACTATTTTGCCCATTTCATGGGTGCTTGATGTCAGACACGCACGGCGTACACATGTGCGTACGTACGGCGAATATAACGCAATAACATATTAAGTGTAGGCTTGGGTGGGGTCTCTCTGTATTTGAACACAGTCATCGCAATGCAGAAGACAGGCATTTTACAACTCTTTCACACCGTCATTCTGCTAATTCTGAATGACTTAAAATTTTTTAGAATGGCATTGGCTGAATTCAAGTAATTTAAATTCTATTTTCTATTATTCAATCAAATTCAATCTCAAATGCTGATTTTCAAATTTTGAGCATTTTAAATTTTTAAAACTTTTTTATTGTGCTGTCACATTTTTGATAAAAATTTAAAGAAATAATTAAGAGAAGTTGGCTTTAATAACGCGAAAGTGTATTGAGACGTGAGAAATCAGGAAGGAAGTGCCTGCTGGTTGGTATCCGTGTGCTGCTGAAACATTATAAGCTGCCTACGCTCTTCCTTACATTATGTTATGCCTGTGCCGAGATATGTTATACGGATATATATCATATATCATATGTTACATGTTGTTATATGTTGTTACACAATGTTAAATGTAGCGAACAAACCGAAGGAACGGATGTGATGCATGATGAGGTATAACAAATGTTTGTGTGAACTGGGCTGTGCAGGCAGAGGTTTCAAAGCATTTGTTTGATTAAACACGTTAAGCTTGTGCAAATAATTTATGCAGTATAAATTTTTCATGCCGACTATCCACACAGCTCAACAAACCTGCGCCTCATTTTTACGCGGGCGGTTTGGAAAAAAAACAAATTTTCTTTCTGCTGAAAAAAAACCCAAAAATAAAGAAGCAATAAAAGCGTAAAAATACCAAATTTTACAACATATGAAGGGGAAATGGCGTGACTTGGTGCTTTAAACATAATCGCCGCTTGCTAGCCTCTTTTCATTTTTATCGGAATTTAAAAAATTTTGCGGCAAGATGCCAACTGTTATAAGTAAAAAATATATGCATTGCTTGCCATTTTTTCACTTCTAATTAATGAATTTTAGCATCTTACAAAACCTTATAACGGATATTTTCCAAGCACAACTATCTATCACAAGATATGTAGCGGAACAAAAGAAATTTTTAAGTAAAAATTCAAGCCATATTACTAATTAGTATGTACAATAACTTTCATTCTTCAGAAACTTCTTAAAAATTCTGTAAAATTAAAAAATATTGACGTTCAAGAAAATAGTAGCCAAAATGTTTTCATGTCATGCAACTTGCTTCGGTTACAATTTTTCTGTCAATCTCATTACTGACCCTTCTTCTGATGTTCTGCATTTGCTACTTGGGTGAAGCTTCACTTCGATCACGAACTCGTGAATGATGTTGTTTAATCATGACAAATAACGCCAACACGTGCCTGCATTTTTTCCATCTTTTTAAAGATGCGCCAGCAGAAAAAATAACGATATGTCGTTGTGAGGTTGGTCTGCATATATCAACAGCAGATTGGAACGTACACACACCTATCCACACACGCGCACACAAACACACACACGCACATATTAAGTAATTTATATAATTATATCAATATTATTCAATTATGTTATATTTCTGATAAAAATTTTATATTGATAGATAAAATATAATTAAATTATCGAACGTTGAAATTTATTTTTGCACTTAATAAGAATTAATTTTTCTAAAAAAACTTTTCTATTTGTTTATTTGTTTTTTCAAGAGAACGATTTTAATTTGCAACTGAGAAAACTATAAGTAGCAAAGTTATCATTTAAAACTATATTGTCGTTTGTCTGTCAGGCGTACAACATATTATTCATCATTGAAATATCTTTATTTTAAAAATAAAATTCTTACATAGGTCCAGATTAAATCAACGATCTTGCTATCATCTACTCACAACCGTCCCTTGTATATCATATATCAAGTTTTGTATCATACACATGTGCCAAGTATTTTTTTAAATGGCAAAGTTTTAACTTGGGACAACGATGAAATGAAGCAAGATAGGTCTAGCCACCGTATGATTAAAAGTCTCGTCAATAAGGTATGTATTAACGTGGCATGAAAAAGTTCGACGTTTTAGAAACAACCGCTCCTATAACGCTATAAATAACTTTTGCTTGTAAATTTAAAATAGCAAAAAACAATGGAAAATATTCAGTTGTGAAAGAATTAGAGCATAAACATTGATAACAATGGCAATAACAACAAAATCATTAACATCTACATCAACAACAACAAAAAGCTAACGATTTCAGCAATAATGCTAATGTAGTGTTTATTATCAATGTTATGTATTAATATCATACAATTGTGGAATTACCACTCATTATCAGTATCCCGGCTTATGTACCGCAACACACACACACCACACACACGCACGCACGCACACACATTAAGAAAAAACCTGCTTAGGAAATTAGAGGCGTCATTTTTGTAGCATTCTTGGTATCAAATACTTTCTACAAAGAATTTATAGAAATTATAAAGAACTTCTTGAAAGGATTCTATAATTGAATTGTTTCATTTGATGTTTGTCTGAAAATAAATCTTGAAATGTTGAAACAAAAAAAAATAACTTAACAATTAAATTTGCAATGAAAGTAAGTACAAATTAAATTTTATTAGAGAATCAATGCAATTATGAGTAGAAGTAAAAATAAAAATGTGAAACCTAAATTTCACAAGACAAGACACGTATCATACAACAGATGATTTCAATAAATATAACGAGTATCTCTATTTTAAAAATACAAAATTACATTTTAAAATACCATATTCCATTATTACTTTTATTATATTATATACCATTATTACCATACCGTATGCACAAGCAAATTCGTACACACATTTCCAAAGAAAGGAACGCAAATAGATGTCGCCTGATACTTTGGTTCTAGTGTGTATTACAAATACAAATTTGTGTGACATCCACCACAAATGACTCCAACATCCCCTTTTAAATTGCCAGGTAGTAAATTTAACATTTATGTAAGTGAAACTGAAAATTTTTTTTCTTTTAAAATTAAAAATTTTAAAATAAAAATACCAGAACCAACTAAATTTTAGCCTGTAGATGTATATAATTATTTCAGGTTAAACAAATCTTCTGTTGCAATTCAAAAAATGTTTGAGCCAAAAATTATAGGATGGCTAATGGGTATGTGGCAGTTGGCACGTAAAGCAACTGAAATAATTTTCCATACAACTGGAAATAAGAAAGTTTCAAAAGCAGAGCAAACAGGATGTAAGACAAAAGTATCTAAGTGAGTAAAATTAAGAAAGAAACAACTTGAAGAGAGAATATTGCAACTTAATATCACTTCGTAAAAAGCATCCATCACAACATTTACATTCTTACACTTCTTACACTTCTTACTTGAAACTATTCATCACTTTAGTATGTACAATAAGTAAGTTAGCCAAATGAATGCATGGATAAACAAAAATGAAAAAAATAATAAGCACAATAGCATGTACATACATGTACGGATGTGTATATATGCGTGTGTGTTTATAACAATTAACAGTCAACATGAGAGAAAAAAGTATGAAAATGACACGTTAACAATTACAATAAAATTTCAAAAATTAATCATTTTCAGTCTATTGGAAACTGGAGAAATATAATTGATTTTCATCTTTATGACTCTAGCGCAACGTGAAACTTGGCTTTATTTAAAATTTTGTTATACAAAACACACGCGCGCACGCACACACACACGCAAATGCATACACATCTGAAATTGCATTAGAGAAAGGCAGATGTTGGAATATTATGGAGCCCGTTCATTGGATTGCGATCATTTAATTAACTTACTCCAACTAGTGAGTAATTAATTTCACGTTAGCGGAAATGAAATCTAATTCAAAAAATTAATATTTTTCATCCAATTTCCAATTGTCATTTTTGAGAAAAGAAATCCTTCATTTGATTGCTTTATATTTTTACATGGTCTCACAACTAAGTTAATTGCAACTGAAGGCATTTGATTGGAAACGAAGAAAAAAGTTTGGATTCTTTGATTTGGTGTGTGTGTTCATCACCCGCACGTGCAATTGGACATGCGCGTGTGCATGTGAAACAGGTTACTAGGCTTCAATTGTTTGTCCTAAGTTCTATTTGCTTTCATTGCCTGTAAATTTTAATCCACGAGTGAGATTAACTTTTGAAGATGTAGTAGGCGAAAGAAATAACAGGTAAAACGGTGTCACGTGATTTTTTTTCCATTTAAATTGTTTGTATGATGTTTATCGCTAACTTAACCGCTAACTTCTCTTTCTTTAAATTCTCACAATTTCTTAAAATTAAGTTTTTTAATTTAACGTTTTCAATGTCTTTAGAAATTACATTTTCAAACAAAGAAGCGTTAAAACAAACCCTAATCACATCCTTACAGTAGGTACTCGTATGCGAGACATTACAATACATGCAAATGTTTCAACAGCGACACCAATGATGTCTTCCTTTCCTTTATTAATGCAAACCTCGATAAGACAAAACTACCATCCATCCCAGTTCTCATGAATGATGATGATAGCATTCATCATTTTGTTATCTTTCTTCCCGACACAATGGTTATTAGCCAAAATAAAATTATTGCATTTGTTAATTATGTAATAATTGATAGAGTTGATTGCATTATTTTCTTTGAAGCTTGTTTGTGTTAGTTGTTTCATTTAGTGATCCAGTTTAAATGAATCGTAACCAATTTTGTTTTCAACAAATTTGTTGAAAATGCTCATAGTAAATTTGAAATGTGAGCTTTTTACGCACAATTTTATGCCAAATTATGCACCAAGAATATTCATTGTTAGTGCATTTGAATGTATTAACACTATTAAAATCAGGCCATTGTCACTTTTCAACGACATCTCTAGAACAGAATCAACCCAAACATACACACCACCTTGAAGAGGATTACCAAAATAAAACTTTTTTGTATGAAATGAAAATGACAAATAAATAGTTAAAAACTTTGTTTTCTACATAAATATGCTAAAAAATGATGATAAACGTACGACAAAAAATATTGAAAAACTTAACCAGAAACTGATCAAAGCTGGAAACGCAGTGATGTTTCTTATCAATTGTATCTACGACAGTTTCATTCCTACTTATATATATATATATATATATATATATATATATATATATATATATATATATATATATATTATTAATGAAACATTTATAAGCGCTAATTAAAATCAAAAGTTCTCAAAAGCGCTATCTATAATCAAACAAAGTAAAAAAGAAAAAAAGTAAAGTCAATGGCGGTAGTAACAAACAAATAATTATTCACTCACTTAACAACAAAATCAAAGCAAAAATAAGTAAGTTTTAAGTTTCTTTTTAAAATCATCAAGTTTCAAATCTTTAGTTCTAAAAGATCTCGGTAAGCTGTTCCAAACCATCGGTCCAGATACTGCAAAATCTCTTGATGCTATCTGCAGATTGACATCAGGTACAACCAGCAAAATGCCATCATCTGATCTAAGGTTCATACCACTCATCATTATAGACTTTTCTTTTATTTTATCTATCAAATAACTTGGTAACAAGCCATGCACAGTTTTATACATTAAAATACATATTTTATATTTAATTCTTTTCTTTATAGTAAGCCAATGAAGGCTCTTAAGAATTGGAGTAACATGGTTAAATTTGAGACCTCCAACAATCAATTTGGCTGCTCTATTCTGAATAGATTGAATTGCAGAAATAGACCTATCTGGCAAACCGTAAAACAGACCATTGCAATAGTCCAATCGTGAATGAACCAATGCATGCACCAAGGTATGAATAGCAGATTTATCTAATGACTTACGGAGTTTATAGAGTTCTCGAATCTGTCCGGAGCAAGAATTTATTATCATCTTTATATGATCATGCATCGATAATCTAGAATCAAGAATGAAACCCAGATTAGTTGCTTTGTCACTAAATTCTATTTTAACATCTCCAATTTTCATTGAATCGATATTAAGTTTCATCAGCTGCTGCCATGCACCTATTGGAACAAATTTTGACTTCTGCTGATTTAATCTAAGACCATTGTTTGACATCCACTTATCTATGTTATTTAGGCAGGTTACAAGTTTGTTGATTTCAGATTGCAGTAATTCTGGCTTATTACTAACTATAATCTGAATATCATCAGCATAGGCATGATATTTAAAACCGAAATTACCAATTACTTTAAAAACTTCAGCGGTATACATGATAAAAAGAATAGGCCCAAGCACAGAACCTTGTGGCACTCCTGATGTCAAAACCGTTTCATTAGATAACACATTATTGAAGACTACTTGTTGCTTTCTGTCAAACAGATATGATCTGAACCACTTGATAACAGTACCGAAAATACTATAATCATGAACCAATTTTTTCAAGAGAATCTGATGGTCTACACAATCAAATGCCGCACTCATATCTAAAAACGCGACTAGAGCCACATGTTGTTTGTCCAAAGCAGCAAACAACTCAGAAAACACATAAAGCAGTGCAGTTTCCGTTGAATGATAGCGGCGATATCCAGACTGGTGAACTGGTAGCAGGTTGTTTACATTCAAATGATTCAAGAGCTGTTTGGCAACCACTCGTTCAAATATCTTGGAAATGAAACAGATGTTGGAAATTGGTCTATAACTAGACAAATCATTTCGATTCATATTCACTTTTTTTAATACTGGATAAACCATAGCATGCTTACAACCATTAGGAAATGTGCCACTGCTCAGACTCAGATTTAAGATGCTAGTAAGAAAAACAATGAATAAATCAATATATTTCTTCAAAATATGGGATGGAAAGACATCTATCATACATGTTTTTGATGGCAAACTGAGTACAATTTTTTAACGTCAGATTCTGTTAGAAGCATAAAGTCAGGAAAAGAACAATTCCCATTGTACTGAGCTTGACAAATAGTCGGACAATTACTCACATTGGTAGACTGTTTAATTTTATTTACTTTATCATTAAAAAACTTTAAGAATTGAGACGAATCTAAACCAACAATTTCACTCAATGACTGACCAGTGACCTGATTACAAAGGACTTTATTAATAACATTCCATAGATTTTTAGAAGATCCACTATTGTCTGCTACAAGTCTTTTCCAATAACTTTTTTTTTTGTGAAAAAAGCCTAGATTTATTTTTCAGAGCTGCCATCCACTCATTTTTACATTTCTCTGTCTGATATTTTCTGTAATTCCTTTCTTTCTTTCGACAAAGTCTTTTGAAAGATTTACATTCACCATCATACCACGGAGCATTAACATCACATCTGACTTCTACAAAACGAAGTGGAGCAACTGCATCAGCCAATTTCTTGAGTTCAGAACTCATCATATCAAACTCAATATTAATATTATTGCTTTGGCAAGACCTTGATAATGGAGAAGTCTGTATATATTTAATGAGATTGCTTTCATTTAGGTATTTCCAGGATCTAACTTGTTTCTTGACTATTTTAGGACGCTTATGAGTTAATGGTATGTTAACCTGAATTAAACTATGGTCTGAAAAAGTCTCACTGGGAAAAATCTTAATATCTGAAATCTGAAAATCTTGAGAACAAATAATCAGATCAAGAATACCTCCATGTTCATGAGTCGGTTCGTCGATCAAATTTTTTAATTGAAACATTTCTAATATTTTCAATAAATTTACAGTATGACGATCTTCCTGTTTCTCAAGGTGAATGTTGAAATCGCCTAAAAGTATGATATTTAAACTAAAGGAAGTGATATTTTCTAGTAAACATAAAAATTCTTCAAAAAATAAATTACTAAATAAAACTGATCCTGGCCTGTAGAGGGCTAATAGAACAAAATCTTTGTTGCTAATAAATAATTTAACAGCAAGTGCTTCAAATGAACTAAATATTGGCAGATCTATTTTCTTAAACTTAAATTCATTACTGAAGTAAATAATTAAACCCCCATGGTGAGGATCATTTATTCTTAAAAAATCAACATAACTATATCCTGGTAGCATTGATGATTTAACAGAAATGTTATTCGAAGATCCGTGCCAAGTTTCGACTAAAACGAAAATATCTAGCCCATCATGAATCAAATCACAGATCGTATCAGTTTTAGAAATCAATTATCTAATGTTCAATAAACCTAGTGTTAAATTACGATTTATTATGTTGCAGTCTTTATCATTGTTATCATTTATTTCTAAATTCTTGACATATTTTATATTAACACTGGTTTTTTCTGTATTTTTACAATCTTCCATCTCCCTACCTGTCCTCTCACTCTGAACAAAAAATTTTGATTGTTTTCTTCTCGCTCCATAACTTTAGCTTTATCAACAAATGATTTGAATTCCTGCCTCTGATCCTTTGTTAAATCATAGTTCAGTCCAACATGTGAAAATTCTTTTAACGACTTGAATTTATATACATTTCTCATTATTGAGTCTCTGAGCAAAACGCAATCTAACTTTATCAAAATGGGTCTAACGACAGTTTCGCATTTCCTTCCCAGTCTCATTATTTTGATTACATTTTTTTCGGAAACATCTCCTGTCAAATGCTTTAAAATTTTCAAAACATTGGAACGATCATCTTCACTTTCAGCTAAACGAAACATCAATAAATTTGTTTCTCTTTCTTCACTAGCTTCTTGTAAAATTTTCTGGATTGATTTGACATCACTTCTAATTACTTCAACATTCAATTTAACTTCCTTGCTGACAATGCTAGAAAATGTTTCTTTTATTTCGTTTTTAAAAATTTTAATTTCCTCACGTAAAACAGTATCGAAACGATCAAGTTCATCAAGTTTAGATTGGTTATGGTCAACAACCATTTTTATGCTATCAACTTCAAGTTTTATTTTTCTGTTACTATCATTTATTTCATTTATTTGAGCAACAAATTCATTTTTAGACGCATCCATTGACTTAGCCTAAGAACTAACATCTTGAGACAAATCAACACAGCGTTGACAAAACCATTTTAAATCTTTAACACTTTTCAAAATTTCAAGAATATCATCGTTAGTTTCACATTTATTGTGAACAAAAGTCTTGCAACAAGTGCATGACAACACATCTTTACTTGGAACTTTTATTGTACACTTCGTACAACAGTAGTGACTACCGGACGACATTATTGAATTTATTATTATAATTAATTACGCTTACTATCAGGGAAATTCCTATCACGTGACAGCAATTTACAGACAATACATTATCAAATTACACTAAAATAATGAATTTTACAAACTAAATTTTATATAAAATTATTCAAAAATCTAATTATGTTAATCTATGCAAAAAAAATCAATAAACGATTACTTTTAACGATGAAAACACCAAAATTAACTGACGAAACGACAATATCAACCGTCCAAACGACTGTCCAAACGAATACATCTATATATATATATATATATATATATATATATATATATATATGGTATATATATTATATATGTATATAGAATTGTTGAAAATAGAATTACCCAAGCTCATCATGAAAACTTGGATAATTCTATTTTCAACAAATTCAGCAGTTTTCTGAAAATTCTATTAAGGAAAACTGAAAAGACAAACCGTAAATTGGTTAATGCCAGCCATTCGGTAGAATTCATACAATACTATATATATATACATATATATTTTTATATATATTTATTTATCTATAAAGCATTTGCAAAAGTAAAATAAGAATGAATGAAATGAAATGAAAGTTTGTAAACATTGTTTTTAGTAACAAAAAAAGACAATGTTTACCGTTGAATTTTTCATGACGACTTTAAAAATAGCTGCTCGGTGAAATATGAATGAAGCGTGCACTGTGCACGTTAATATTCGTCGTTCAGTGTGGGTGACCTTGTGGACGTGGCTTGTCGCACGTGCGCCGTAACATTTGGCTGCCGTGCTATATTGTCATAACTAATAAAATATTGATTTAAATTTTTTACAATGGGTATTTTTAAAGATATTTGTAGGTATTTTATTCCTCCAATCATGACTGTTGTTAACATGGGATGTTGTTAACATGGGATTCGTGGTCTAGCATGAAGTTGGTGTCGCAGCTATCTAAGTAATCGCCATCAATATGTAATCAACACAAGTGTTAAATCTAATTTGTTACCAATAGACAGTGGTCTTCCACAAGGATCCATACTCGTCTACAACATATTCGTTGGTGATTTAGTGAAGGTTGGCTCTTCCCTTAAATTTGTTATGTGTGCAAACGATACTACAACACAAGCAGTTGGCAGCTCTGGTGCAAGAAGTTGAAACTTTCGTGAATACTGAACTTCTATCGTAACTTATTCGAATATTTTTTTAATGATTTATAATAATTGTACTATAAATAGGGTTAAAAGTTTAAAATTCTTCTGTATTATTATAACAAATAATTTAAATTATAAAGATCATATTTTATATATCTCAAAAAAATGTCCAATAATAAAGTTTTATATATAAATTAAAGAAGTTATTATCTAAACATATTCTTATTAATCTCTACTATTCTTTCATCCTTATCTCTTATATGGAAAGTTGCAAGAATGGCCACCATTTGATTCGACGTCAGATACCAGTTTGGGAATGCTTAGGAAGACTTATTGAATTGTTGCCGGCTAATTATTATTTCACGTAGTTTTTGGTTCATTAACTTATGCATAAATTTTAAGTTTTTTTTTTGTTCTCCCCTATTTATTTGACTATCTTTCAGAGTTATTTTATTTTTGCAATTTTTTGGATCCTACAAGCCCATAATGGTCTTCTGGTCGGTGTTTTGAAATAAAGAAAAGACAGAGCGATATTATTTTCGAAGACGCACAAAAAGCATCTAATTTGGCTTAAATAGTCGCTCTATTGTAGCAGGCAGAGTCTACTGAAACCCCATTATTGAGGTTTCTGTCGACAGGTTGATCAAAAACTAACTCATTTTTGCATGCTTATCAATCAATCAATCAATCAATCAATCAATCAATCAATCAATCAATCAATCAATCAATCAATCAATCAATCAATCAATCAATCAATCAATCAATCAATCAATCAATCAATCAATCAATCAATTTTAATATTAAAGACAAAATAATTTAAATTCGTTCGGCTAAAAACAATTTTACTTATGCTTGACACGTTTTCAAATTATATCCAAAAAAATTCTTCGCAAAAAAACAGCGAAACGTTAGCGTAAGCGTGAACAACTGGCTACCGGATGCTTCATTCAAGTTCTTTCTGAAGCCTTATTTATTGGCCATCCATCTAAGCACAATGAATGAATTAAAAAAGAAAAAAAACAAACTAGGTAACTGAATAAATGAAAAGTTTTAACATGCCGTTGAAATGATATGAAATGGACACTCACGTCTTCGGATGTCTTTTGTCCGTGGGTCGAGATTAAAAATAATATTTTGCGATCAAAAAAATTATTTTAGATGCAAAAAGTGAAACAAAAATTTTTAATTGTCAGTCATAAAACTCAGAGGAATGTTATAGAAAATTTTTATATTATTTTCATCATTTTGAATTTTTTCAATTTAAATAAATGTTGAGGTGCCGTAGTGTTCACCGCGAACGATTTGCGCTCAAATTTTTTACATTAATTTAATTTTTCAAAATTGTGTGTTAAACTTCTTTTCATAGAATTTCAGAGGACTCAACAGGTCTCAGTTGGTGAAATACCACAGAACATTTCAAATCAAAACTGAAATATTAAACTATGTATTCCTAGAAATTAGAAAAATTAAATCAAACAATGTTGACCATATATCTATTATCGATTATTAATTTATGATAAAATTTGAATAAAATAGCTATAAAAATAATAATAATTTCATCATATCTTTAATTTTGTTTGACTATATTTGATATATATATATATATATATCATGATACACACATCGTAGTAACATATATATGATAATAATAATGTGATTTATTACAGCGCCATGTGCACATCAGCATAATGGCCAATGAAATAGGCAATAAAAATATATATATATAACATATACAGCAAACATTTTTGAACGTGTTTTGCCGATTTTTCAGTCTTGTTGGACGTTTGATTTTAAATTTTGTAACGTCCAATATTGTTATTAATGCATCAAGGTGATTTTGATTTATTCAAAAATTTTAAAACATTCTTTCTGAACTTGAACGCTTCGCAACATCTCGTACATCATCATTTCTGTTTTTTATCGTCTCTGCCTATAGTCCTCCCTTTATTGGAGTATGATAGAATTGTCTCTAAGCATGATGCGCGGCGTCTTATACCTAATTGAAATATACGACCACAACTTTTTATGCGTAGTAAGAAGCTGCACGTCCACCTTTGATTGCGGACATAAACAATTGCACGGAATGTGCGTGCCTGTTTCAAGGAAGCCAAATCAAAGGAATAGCATAAAATAATATTCTCAAGAGCCTGACAAAAAAAACTTTTTTTCTTCCGCAAAAAACTTTCGGGAAAACCATCGGAAAAACATCTCAGACAAAAAACTCTCCGGACAAATAACCCCCTGGACAGAAACACATTGAAGAAAATATAACTCAATCGAAAACATTTACGATTAAATTGCTCCATAACAAAATGTTATAAGAAAATAGGAAATTTCTTGGCTAAACACAGCAACAATATTGATAAGGTTTTCCTATAATTCTTCCTACGAACAGTTGATGAAACTTGTCAGTTGTGATTTTTTTTTCTAAATTAACATTTCAAATTTATTTGAATAACAAAACTTTCAATACAACACAGTTTTTTTCAAATATTACAATTTAAATTATTATATATTAAAATACTTTGCGGGTTTTAAATATAAATACAAGTTCTGACGTGGAATATGCAGTGATTTTCATCAATGATTGCATTTCTGACAGTCTTAATCCAATATAATATATATATATATATATATATAATATATATATTTATACATAGGATTAAGACGTATTATCTATATATATATATATATATATATATATATATATATAGATATATATATAATACGTGTGTGTGTGTTGTGTATGTGTGTGTGTGAGTTGTATTCAAATGTAGTATTTAAACTTTAAACTTGAAACATATGTACACACACATTTGTATTTATAATTTTATATGCAAGAATATTCTATAATAATATTTATATATTTTTGTTCATTGAAGCGTTATTTAAGTTTATTGAGTGCGAATTAGAAATGTGTCTCACAGCACCTAGGTTACCGCTATCAGGCATGCCACAAGCCACATGTTGTACGTACGTGGCGTGTATTACAAACATATTGTTACAGACGTGAAGGCGAGATAAAAATTGGTAATTATAAATTAAAGTGAAGCGCTTGATAATTTAGTTAAGAGGCGGAGCCAATGAAAACCGTATTGTAAAATGTCGATGATTGTAAAAGAAAGCGAGGTATAAATAGACCGACAACAAGAACGATAAAAAAAGAGAGAGGGAGAGAAAACAGAGAGAGGAGTGCACGAAATAGCAACGAACGACGAGAATTACGAAGAAGTCAGAAGAAGTTTCAGGCAGTCCTATTATTGCAGAGATATTTTGTGTGCGTACTGCAAACAAATTAGCGATAACGCCCAAGGAGAAGTTTGTCACGAAGAATTCTACACGCGGTCTGCGAGTGAATTACGATAATCTTCCGAGAAGTGGATACTTAGGGTTTACGGTCAAGAAAGAGCTTAAGAAGAGCTTAAGAAGAGCTTAATTATTGACGATTAGTTTTATCCTGTGATTTAACTGTTGATTAGTTATTGTTTTGTATTCTAACGATTTTAACGATCGAACGAACGAGTGATCGATTACGGCAATTGCCAGCTCTGTTTTCTTTCTAA